CAGTAGGGATACCTGAGTCACCTCCCTTTTACTTCAACTTGAATTTGATATTTTCCTTTGTCCTTGAGGAAAACTGGAGGTTTGTATTGTTTAGGCTAAAGTGCTGGAGAAGAAAGTCATACTGAGGAAGAGGAGAGGCTTTGATTCAGCTTTTGTGTCTGGTGGGAACATTTTCTCAAAATGTAGGTGCTATTTCCTGTAATCAGGGGTTTTCCAGAGCCTGATAATAATTTCCCAGCTGTATCATTTTGGTGAATTATTCTTTAGCCTTGGGTTTTGCATATTAAGAATGGGAGAGGAGATCATATTCATCTTGATGATAGAAAACAGGGAATAGAACTCCCACAGCTCCCTCTCCCTTTCCCTCCACCTTGTGGAAAGTTTGGCTTTGTGCTAAAGCGTGAAAAAAGCCTTGACTGCAGTGTGTCAGGCATATTTCAGCTCGATTTGTGTCAACCCTAATAAGTCAGCTGACAAGGTAATAAATTGGGTGTCTGTTCACGACCTGGCACCTGTACAGGAAATAAAAGGGGATTTCAGTTGCAGCAGATTTGCTTTGTTTTACAAATGGATCTTTTCTTAAGACTCCTCTACCTCCTTCCCCCTTCTTCTCTTTACTGAAATCATGTTATCAAAATGTTTATTTCAATTGTGGCTGGAGCCAGTGTTTCATCTGGAAAAGAAAGTTCTATGAGTATCCTTGGAAATAGAAATCTTTATGATTTTCATTCTGAAATAAAACCTTACAGAGCATTTAATTATTCATGTATCCTGCTGTTACATAAATGGTCTGAATAACTTAGAATTGTTGAGAAACTGCCTTTGTTCAACATTTTGAAACTTTACATTTATATAGTTTGAATCAGGCTAGAAAAACAGAATTTATTCAACCCAGGGAAACTGTAGTAGTAAGATCTCACTATTTTTAATGATAATATAACCTTGTGACCAGGGTGTCTTAACGTGCTTCCCTCTGTGCCTGACCTCCAAGGATGCAAGACTGTTACAGCCCTTGAGAGCACAGCTTTTGTAGGTCCAGCTGTAGGGTTGTGTTTTTAGCTCAGGGGCACCAGGTCAGTTCCCAGTGTGATGTGAGGTGGTGACTGCAGTAGTGGTGAGAGCTGAGGCAGTTTCCTTGGGCTGTTCACTTTTGGTACACAGATCTTCCCCATGCTTGGAAAAGAGACAGCAGCTCCTGTCTCTGACCCTTTTCATTTTTGGTGACTGTCCTGGGCACCATGGAAGAAGTTTCCTAAGGATGTGGTTTCAGGCTCTATGGCTGGAGGAAGCAAAACAGGACTGTATTCTTTGAAATGGGCAGCTGCCTTTTCTTCCAATTGAATTTCTTCCACCTTTTCCCTCCTTCATTATCCCATAGGGATCTAGAATAAGTAGATCTTCATTTCCACACGGAGAGTTCATCTCCCAGAATTTCCTTCTTGGACTTTTTTAATTAGAGGAAGTGATAATCTGACCCAGTGGAAGGTGAAGGGGGAAATGGTTTATTAAAAAAAAATATTATTGCCATTAATTAAAGTAGGTATGATCTTTAGAAACAAGGAGACAAGAACTCTCAAGGTCATAACAGTTACCTAAGTGTGCTTTGCACATAATAGGAAAATTTTCAGCAGTAGTGTTCAAAATCCAAGAGGATAAATCTATGTAATGTATATAATAAAGTTTTCTATACAGTCTGTCTGTTTTAGGATTTATCACTCTTTATGCAGAGGATTGGACTAGATGACAAAAGCTTTACCTGTCCACTTCTATCGCATTTAGGGTTACAACATTTAAATGAGGCAAAAGTTTTCTTAAGTTCTCCTCGTATTTTCAAGAATTGAAAAAGGAACTTGAGGTGAAAAAAGGGGGAATATAAACCTTTAAAACTCCAAGTCCACTTTAGGAATTGTAATTGAATGCAAGCTCTGGTCTTTCCTATCACACTATAAATAAAAAAAAAATACTTAGTTAAGCAACCCTTCTTTCTCCAGCACTGCCTAGGAATATGATGGATTACTCTAAATTAATTACAGTAATCAGCTAACGTTATGTGCTGTAGAGTTGTGATTCAAGCATGAAGGAAAGAATGCAGAGCAAATTGCATATATGAAAAATGTGTTGCAGGGTTAGCTCAAGGTTTACACCTTGGCCTCAGCCTGTGGAAAAAAAAAAGGACTCGAGGGTGAAATACTGAAATCTGATCAAAAATGGAGGAAATGTTCGAGGTCACATATCTTTGGATGTACTGCAAAGGCATTATATATTAATAAAAGCAGAAAAATAAAGTAAGAAAACAGTACCTAATAATAACTGATACTCTATGTTGCAAGAGGTGTTTTAAATTTCCTGGTCATTGAAAAGATGTTAAGAAATGCCCATTTCTTTGTGTTCAATAATATCAGCTCCCTTCTGACCTGTTGTGAAATGGATTGAGAATTTATACTGAACTTTACAGATTCCTCATGAGGTGAATTGCAAAAATCTGCTTGGACACATATAATCTTCTTTAAAAATATTTATAGAACACAGCTCTTATGAAAATTAAACATGTTCCAGGTGTGTATGGTCCACCTTCTGGGCACAGCCAAGTTGTTTTTGAAGTTTTAGATACACCTGTCCTTGCTAGTCAAGAGACATTCTTCATGGTCAAGCTGCTAAAATGAAATGAAATTTCATGGGGTTTGTTGTGTCTTGGTTTTATTCAAGAGAAAAACTTATATGATTATAGTAAAGCTGAGAATAAGTTGCAGGTAAGATGTGCACCTGGCTGTGGAAAAAAATATTAGTTCTTTTTTTCTGAGCAACAGCTACTTGCAGTGCTTCAGCTCTCAGGATAAAATGGTGGATGTGATACTATTGTGCTTGCAGGCTCTTATTGGGAGGTTGGGATCTTTAAAAGATTACTTTTTTTTCTTCATTAATAGAAACTAGCACCACAAAAACTCAAGGTGTTTTCTTCTAGGTCTATTCAAAACACCATGGGAAGAGGTGCTAATGCCAGGTGTATAAAAGCTCTGTGTAAAAAGCATAAAGCAAAAAGATGGAGTTCAGCTATAGCATGGGGGATGGCTTGCAAGCTGAAACAACCATGCTTGCTGAGCTTCCCTTCTGTTTCAGTGCAGCTGCCCAAAAGGACAGGGCATGGCCAGACTTTCAGGGATGTTTTCCAGATGTGTGAAAAAAGTCTTTAAAGGGGAAGGAGTATATATCCTTTTTTGGTTTTGCAGTTTCTAGTATTTTTCTGGCCATGCTGGCAACTATATCAAAAATAATCTATCTGAAGAAAAAGAGGCAAAAAAGGTAGGGTATTGAAAGAAATATCTCTGAGAAGTGGTACTGAGGCAAAAATGAGCAAATGTGACAGAGATGCACATCAGGGAATCTTTCAGCTGATTTCAATGTAAGGTGAAGTTCTAGATGAGACTAAGGTGAAATAGAGATGTTGGTCTGTCCTTTGGGTGGGATTTTGCATGGCTGAAACACAAATGTGTGGTTTGTTGCCCCTTCTATTTTAGTAGTGTCTACAGGTGTGCTATCTGCAGTGTTCTTTGGAAGCTACCTGAATTTGTATCCCAGAGTCTTTCTTCAACTATGAATACGTTTTATAGGTTTTTAAAGTCTCACATGACTTTGTACAAAGGTGTTGCTGATAATTCTTCTACCTCCCCCCCACAGAACAGCAGCAGCATAACATCTGAGAACCACATTTTGTGTGTGTGTTATCTTATTTCCTACTCTTAGGCCCTAAACTGAGGTGAATGTCAGCCATTGATATATAAAAAAAGGATATTTGTGACTTTTCTGTGATTAATATCTTTCCCCTACTTCTCTTTTTTTTTCCATTTTCTGCTTTTCAGAGGCTGATTTAATTCAGTTTACCACTGTTTCACTACATTTTCAGCAACACAACAGAGGAAAGTAGTAGGAGACAGTGTGAGGAATCTGCTACAAATCCTGCTGTGGACTGGTTTCTTCTACAAAATTGCCAGTTTAAATATATATCCATCTGCATCTGCGGCACCATTTCACAGCTACCTAAGCTAATTGTCACCTGGGCCATCCCGGTGCCTACAGCCTCTCGCCATTCAAACCTGGGTTTAATGCTTCCAAAATCTCATCCAGCAAAATCTAAGTTATTTATTTAGAGGTAGCTCAGGCCCCCAGTTGGGGAAATGAGGTAGTAGGGTGCTGAGAGGAGGGTGCAACCATGGCAACCCAAATTTGTATTAATCTGAGCAGCTGTGGAGAGTTACTACTAGGTCTGGCCTGTCCATTCCAGAGCTACTTTCTCCTTCTCCTGGTCTCAGTGCTGAGCCTGTGTTAGGCCAGGGACAGCTACCCTGTCCCTGTAGTCCAGGAACTCAGTGGCAGTGAGAGCTGTCTGGGGGCTTTCCTTGCCTTTGCAGGTTCATTATTTTTTTTTTCTTTCCCTCTATCAGAATGCAATTGCCCTTCCCCTTCTTTTCAAAGGCACTGGTCATTGTCTCCTCCTGCTGCATTTATCCTCTGTTGAAGTGAAATGATATGATGAGCAGATCAAACATTTCAATGCTCCTAGAAGTCCTGCCCCCTTCCATGTTCTCTCTAGTAGTGGAAGCAGTAAAGGTATTTTAATGTAATACGTTAGAGTTTCAGTGTAATTGCTGCTGCTCTTCAATCACTTCTGACTTACTAGTTAGCAAGTATGGGTTTCTTCCAGTTTTGGGAAAACAGGAACACCATAATGCCTGCAGAGCACAGGAGTGCTTCAGCCTTTGAGTGTACCTAATGCCACAACATAGGTGGTGAGTGGGTGGGAGTTGGTTTTAGAAACCTTGTAGACACTAAGCAAATGTTTCACTGAAGTCCATAGTAGCGTCACTTGACAGAGGCTGAAGAAATTGGAGAGTGGTTTTATGTGTTGTAAAAAGATTTCCAGCTGGTAAACTGTAAATATATAAAAAGTTATGAAATTAAAACTGACAGAATTACTGATAAAAATTTCTGGATCTCTATTTCAGTGTTTTATTCAGAAGTATTGAGTTAATTAGTTACATATACGTATGGAATAACTACAGACTCTTTGAACTGCCCTGGGACTCTCCATGGACATGGTATCTGACATTTCTGGGAGTGGACTTTGCATACTACTGCTTTCATCGCATGAGCCATGGTAAGACTTAACAAGTTTTTCATGTTTCAGCATACAAAATACATTAATATCTATTAATAAAGTGAGGTATTCATTTTTGTTTCTATACTTGATCTACTCTAAGCATATATAGCTGCTCTTCTTCCCGAGGGTTAGCAAAGATAAACTTTTAGCATGGGAAATAGTTAATGCATCATACTGTATACAATGAACACAATGTTGTGAAAGGAAGGAGTATAATTTTGAAAGCAGTTCAACAAAGAAAGTGAAGTATCATGGAAAAAAGTAAGGATAAAATAGTGAGTACATAAAAAATTGAGTTCAATATCCCTATATACCTGTATGAAAAATCCAGCAAAGTACAGATAACTATTTCAAAAGAATCTGGTGGATGTACAAACTAGAGAGCAGGAAAAAGCAAGATGGCCAAAATAATGGAGCCTGTGTAAATCATGTCAGCCATTTCTGTACATGTATGTCTGTCTCATTACATATTTCTGTTCCCTAGTGAAAACAAATATCAGCTCTAGCCTTTTATAACATATCTGAAAATGCAATATTACTTTCTATCAATCCTAGCTCTGGGCCTGACCTAAAGTCTGTAGCAATGAAATAAATTTTTTTTTGTTTTTTAAGAGGGTTTAGACTGGGCTTCTCAAAGCTGAGTGCCCACAGCCTGCAGAAGCTGTGGGATGTAGTAATGATACTTTTTGTAATGTGCCTTCAGAAAGGGAAAATGCTCTGCTGCCAGTAGGTCAGTGGAATATATGGAAGTAGGTAAGAAAGGAACCTGAGCTGCTGCGAGGAGTGGGAGAGAGGAAGGGTCCCTCCCAGGTGGGGATGGCAGGCGGGTGTGAGAACAATGCAGGGTGGGTGTAAAGGGATAACAATGGTGGGGGACGGGGCGGGAGGCGAGGAAGCAGGGGGAGCTGGAACAATGTGTTGAGGGGGACATCACGGCCAGGAGCTGGGAGCCCTGCGTGGGTGTACGGAGACTGGGAATACGCTTCACAAACAATGACATTAACAGTGCTGGCAGGGCTACAGCCTCAGGCTAAGAACTGCATAAGAGCAGGAGGCTATTCCTGTGTTTTAAAATAAAAATAATTGCCTTCAAGTGTTAGAAAATTGCCTTGCTAGTGTTAGAAAATCACTAGCTTGACTGTGCTTTCTCTGGAGTCAGTGGTAAAATTCCCACTGGCAGAAAAGGGAACAGGGCCATCTCTGCGTTCTCTAAAGCAATGGATATATTTCTGTTTCTGCAGCAACTTTGTGTTTGCTCTTCTCTGTTTTTGTTTTTGATGGAATACTTAATAGGTGGAATTAATCTCAATAGGTGTTTTAGAAATAAAAACAAGCCAATTCTATATGTAATGGAGTTGAAGAAGCTGTAAGAAAATGCTGCTCTTCTCTTAAGAAGGTCAGTGCTAAACTATTCAATAAATGTTAATTTACTTTTCTTCAGGTTACAGAAATATTGTTCGCTGTTAGATCTGTGCTACTTAGCAGGGAACTGATGAAAAATTGTAGAAAATCACTCTAAGTGGGGATTTTAGTTTAACCAACACTCTTCTCTGGTCAAACAATGATGAAACCTGTAGCACAGCAACACAGCTGCGAAAGTCAGCTGCACTGAAAGTTGCTGAGGAAATTCAAGGAGATGGTTTTAAAAAGGAAAAATATCTTTGCAAATTGAGAAGAAAGGGCACTGGAAAAGTTGCTGGTACAAGCAGACAAAACACACCTTTGCACTAGAAAGTGACAGGGCCTGGTGATTCAGGCTTGGATCCTACAGCAAAGTTCAAAATTAATAGCACATGTATATCCCAGGAAGTTCAAGCTGTGTGGGCTAGCTCTAATTGTTTCAAACTGAAAAACTAAAATTCAGATACGTTTTTTTAGTTGTTTCTTAGAACTTGATATAATTTTGATACTAGGAATTATCATCATCATGTAGCTTTTCCTGGCTGCAAGCAATAATTTGGTAACTCAATCCCCTGGCATTTTTACTGCCTTATTTCATGTTAGACATGAATAACTAGATTTTTCATTCTACTATTTCATAAATTGTCTTGAATCACTACAGATTTTAAAGTTTCTTCTGTAGGAGAAACCCTACTTTGCAATATAAAATTTTTACCCTGCATTTGAGGAGATATTTTTTCCTCTTCACTATATGCATGTAATAGCTATTATCCTAAACTGAAGTTACACAGCAACAAAAGGAAGTATTTTTAGGTGTGATCTCATTTTGCAAAGGATAGAGTTATTCTAAGTATGTGCTTGTATTTTCCATTGTTTGCAGTAGCCACTGAAAGGTTAGGAAATAAAATGCTTCACCACTTACTCCAGCATTCTTCTGGGTCTTATCCAAAAGCCATGGCAGTCAACGGGTCTACTTAGACCCTGCTCTTTCTCATGGCATTTTAATGAATTTATAAATCAATGTAACTTTTCCCTTTGTTTCAGTAAAAAAACCCCATAATGGCTGTACTATTGGAAAAAGTATACTGTAAAGTCATAGGTTTTACTTTAAAACTTTTTTTTTGGGGAAGGATATGTGTGGGTTTGAAGGATTTTTACCAGGTATTTTCATCTAGCATATATGGATTACTCCTCAAGTTTTCTCTCCAGGTGCAGAGACCTTGTAGAGTTAGTCCTCCTAGTGAGGGGGATTTGGTGGTCCCAGAGCAGTGCTGAGCCCCAGCACGCCCTCCCCGCACCCTGGCCTTAGGGACACTCCTGTTGCAGACAAATAACAACCGCAGTAAGGAATTTGGAAGCTCTGTAAACTGATTTCTTCAGCAGCCACACCTTTTAATCACAGGGGGAAATCTAGAGAATTCCAGATCTGTTCAAAAACACTGGTGCTGGTGCAGAGCCCAGGTCCCGGCTGCGGGTGTCTGATGCCCAGCTCTGCTGTGGGGGGCTCTGCTAGATCCAGGGCCACCCCTGGCCTGAGCAGGTCCCTTGGCAACAGCTGTGTGCTCAACCCTGTGCTCCAGTGGGGAATAGTGGGGGCTTGCAAGGCTCTGGTGCTCTGTAAGGGAGTAGTTTTTAATCTACACTTCCCGGAGGATCACATCTTGCAGAACAGAGTGTGTTTCTGTCAACTGGGGTAATTTCCTCTCTTCTGTCAGGCCCTGGAAGAAGCTGTCTCTTCTTAACAGCAGCTTCCAACACCTCTTCTTTTGTTCTCCTTTCGTGCTGGGGAATTTCCACTGCTTCAGTGTCCCTCCCCTCAGACAACCTGGGAGAAGCGAGTTTCCTTCAGCAGGGCCAAGCCCCGCAGCAGCTGCATTGTTCTGCCTGGGCCCCGCTGGCCGGTGTCAGCCGCTCGCCCCATTGTCCGCTGGTGGCTTCCAGCCGCCCTGCGGGATACGTGACCTGGTCCCTGTCAGCCAAGGGCCGAGCCAATATGAGCTGATGGTTTGCGTTACATCTGAGGTCATAAAATAGACCTCAGCTGATGAGTATATCCTCAGCAGATTCCCCAGCTGCTACATAAAATTTCAAGTTAATGGTGTGTCTCTTAATAATTTTGAATTTATTTATAGTGGATGAGAAATGAGCCTTCTACACCAGGTGTATTGTATAGCAATAGACTCCAAGCTTCTCAGATTCTCCCACCCCACAAGACTGACCTTTTGGCCAAGTCCAGCTTCTGAAGGGTTAGAGGACAAAGAAGGAAACCCTGAAAACTAAGACCCTGCCTCAGACTGTGACAAAATGCCTCAGCTGAGGATGTTGAGAAATTTTTCTTTCTAAGACTTCAAATAATAGGAAGTTTTGTAAACTTTTCAACTCCTGTTTTAAAGAAGTTCTTTTAGAGGGGTGTTTCTCTTAGCCATGACTTAATTTGCTTCTGCCTTTTCTCCCAGTGAGCATCTTTTGTTACAGTTCCTTCAGCAGCAGAACTGATTTCAGAAGTTTCTGGCTGCTCTTTCCTACACCATGCTGCAGTTCACAACCCACTCAGTCCTGAAAAAAATATCATGTATGGAGGCTGTGTGCATGAGATGACTGAAATAAACCATGTTGAAAAACAAGGTTGTGTTGCATGTCTTTCTCAACAATTCAGCTCAGTAGTCATAGGGGTCAACTTAGCCACAGAGCAGGACATAAGCCAGATGTGCTAGCTGAGAATCTATGGGATTAAGTGGAGACTTGAGAGAGAGCAGACAATTTTCTGAGTCAGTAGTGCACAGGCAGGTAACCCATTGTTTTATAAGGAGCTAGAGTGGATAAATAGGCACAGGTAGTGTCTCAAGACTGATGCCATTAAAACAACTGGAATGTGCAAAAGTAAAAGCCAATCCTGTTCTTTCTGATAATTATATATATTGTGTAGTAATAATAATCCTAATGTGTCACTGGACACTAGTGCAATACAGTGTTTGTTGTTGCTTAAGGAGATGAGTTTAACCTTGTTAGAGCAAAACACAGCTCAGAGGCTCAAAGTCTCTTCACCATCTATATTTGCTGATAATTTTTCGAGGGCATATTGAAATCATATGATTGTATTGTCTGTATTTATCTGATCCGTTCCTGCCTTTGAAGTGCCTCTTTCATCTGCTTTTTGTCATGTACTTGTCTGAACTCAGTATATTAGCATGGACTTGTTATGTAGATGTTATATATATTGGCAATTGATACTATATTGAAGTAATTTTTTATTTACAGGGTTTTGGATTTATGGGAAATTCATTATAATAACGTGATGTCTGACTTTTCTTACAAGGTTTGCTTTTCAGCAAAATCTGTGTTCCTCTACAAATACAGCAAATTGTGGTGCTCTTTTACATGCCAAGGTGGGGAGAAGGTAGGGTTGGTGGTGGTATTTTTTAGGCTTATTTTTACATGTGGAAAAATATTGTTGTTTACCTAATTAGAAATTGAGTACCATATTGATTATCCAAAATGAAACAAATTTAATTTCACCCTAGTGAAAGATAGAAAATGTTGGGAACTGTCAAGCGACTGGAGGAGGCTCTGCTCTTTTTCTTGTCACAGCTTGTGTT